TTATTTGTGTAAGGAAACAGCTGCCACTATACGCACTTCTGGTTCGTGAAGTAACTTCACCCATTTTCAAGGTTGAAATAGCCAGCAAAATCATGGGATCCCTCATTAGGATCGGGTGTGTAAAAAAGCGACTAGGGTAGCAACCGGACTTCGTACAATTCAGCAATTTTCCCTAAGCAGCAATCCTCCTTTGGTTTTCGCTGAGACCACATCACGAATTCCTTACAACCAACTTTCCCTACGAAATGAAGTAGTTACAATGCAATCTTTAACCTAGTGCAAACTCAAAAAAAGAACGACTCAGAAAACGGCCACTTTGAAAAAAAATTTCCTCAATGAAATAGGTGTAAATTAATTTTATAAACAAGGGATAAGCTCATCAATAATGAATGTATCATCTGTTAAATATAACTAAAAATCTTTTCACATCTTAAGAAAATGTCCAGTAAATCTCAAGTTCCATAAAGAAAGATCTTGTTTTCCTCGCCATATAATTGGTGGTACATGATCTTTGAGGGGTCAAAAAGTGTTAGCAGGATTAGAAGACTTTATGGAAAGCAAGGCTAAGCAAAATCCAATAGCCTAAGGTCTAATTAGTTTATTGTAAAAAAATTTAACGATCAGTCCTTAAATAAACGTAAGCGACCTAGCCCGACCCAAGTTCTTATTCAAAAACCACTGAGTTGCTAAAAATACTCAGATAAGCATACTAATTTCCGACCTATCAATCTGATTTTAAACCTCAGGGAATGGCAACAGCAAGTGTGACCAATTAGAGCGGATGAATTGGAATAATATTTTCGCTATTACCCATAAGAGCATAAGCCAAAAAATTATTATCTGGATACTTTCTAGTCTTAGAAGTGGTGTAACAGCTGTAGTGAAACATTATTTTATAGATATTAGATATATGAAAATGCATGACCATAAGGATGGCAAGAAACTTACTTTGAATTTGACATCGAGAGCAATCTTCTCTCTTTCTAGAGTTTTAAAGCGTCGCATAAGGTCGGTAAACTCTTGCTGCAAGATTTGAGCACCATGTGAGGCCTTCTCCTCCTTTGATCGAAATTCGTTAGCCTCGGACAAGGCGGTATCGAGCTGATGTTGCGTGCGATCCAACTCAGAGGCGGTTTCCTGTAAATTAGAAGTTAAAAGTCTCAAGGATACTCATAGATGCATACCTATTGATTCAATGATCTATTTATTCGGTTCAAGTGGTCCAGTTTTATCCGATCCTAAGTAGTTTGTATATCTCATAAATAAGTTAAATGAGTAAATGAGGAGCATGGCAGAACTAGCTTTTATGAATTTAAAGACAAAGGAATGAAGTGATTAAGTTTTGTTAGCCTTCTGGCTGCAAAATATAAATCTATCGCATTTATAATACTCGCCATATCTGAAAATGACTAAACCGAGTACAATTACGTACGACTATGACTAGATTATCAAATAAACCAGCTTAAGAATTTCTTAGAAGTAATTTGACCTTGTTTTCGCAACTTGGTCATATTGTTAGGAACACTTAGAGGAGCGAACCTAGTCCGGAGTCCATCGTATGCCGTGGACGTGGTACATTCCCAGACGTTTCGCCGGCATCGTCAGTGAGTCTTGCCATTCGTAGCATCATATTACAGCTCGTCAAAAGAGACAAGTGAAGCCCATCCTTTGAACAAACGTGTGCTAAACAGTTGTGGTATCTCCCCTTCTGCCTTGGGCTATTCACATTTCCTATATACTCTTATCATGCCTTCCCTGTCACAATTTTTACCGTGCTTATTTTTAATGTAGTGTGGTGTGCTCCTTCGAGCGGTAATCATGAAAACCCATCACACTCCACGCTGTCGTTATCACCCCTTCACCCTTGTGCTGGGAATGCTGACCAGAGCCTGTAATATTGTTACGTAATCCTTAACTGGGTCCTATCAGGGTCTCCCTCTTGCCCCGTAGAATCCGTCTGCTATCTCCCTCGTACATGTATTTCACTCGACCCTTGCCCCCCTCCCCCCAACTGTGCTACTCGAGGCGTAATTCGTCCATCCCCTGTATCTGGGTGATTGATTAGAGGCTAAAGCCTCAAAGTAAGTCTCATGGTCATGCCTTTGTTACATGGACCACGTCTCTTGTAAAACCTATGTCAGCCAACTAACTCGAATCGCCGCCTCGTATATCCTGTCTCTATCCCTAACACCAAGTCTATGATTTGCCATGCCCTAGTCGCTTGTATGCCAACCCACAAATGTAGTACTACTGCTGGCTTTGATTAGGTTCAATGTTGAACCAAAACGTTTGTGGGTTGGCACAAGAATTTTTTGCCACCTCATCCGATAATATATTTGCATGATTTTGCATTCATTTGTGGAGACCTATATGGAAAATACCTGATTGAACAAAAGCAGCCATAAATGGCTTAAGGATCAAAAAATTGGAATCGGCCGAACAAAGCAGACACAAAACCAGATATAGAAATCACACTAGAGACAAAAGCTTAGGACAGATTCATAAAGATAGCAGGACAGCGAGCAAAGCACGTCTTCGGACAATCCAACAGACTTTATTCTGCGGCAATATTTCGGCTTTCGATGAGACCATTTCACGAATTCCCTCCAGCTGATCTAACCTCGAAATGGAAAGTCATGTCATAATACGGCACTAGGAAATTATTCGAAACCCAGTTTTTTTCATATCTAAAAAGCAGTTTGTAGGGGATTTTACTGTCAAGCGTAATATTATTAAAGAAGTGGGTTGACCTCGTTGTCGCAACTTGGTTTTGTGTTCAGGGAGACTATGTAGAACGCACCCAGTTCCGAAGTCGTCTGCCATAGTAGTTGTCATGATTCCCAGCATCTGACAGTGGACTTGATACATTCTCAAACGTTGGGTTGATCTCGTTGTCGCAACTTGGTCTTGTTGTCAAGATGACTTAGTAGAACGCACCTAGTCCGAATTCGTCTGCCATAGTAGTTGTCTTGATTCCTAGCATCTGACCGTGGACTTGATACATTCTCAGACGTTTCGC